TTGTAATTTGTAAAGTAAGCATGAATTCTCATCCCATTCAAATACCTCTATTTCTTATGTGCAGTTATGAGGAAGAACTCTGGTTAGTGGTAAATTGAACAAGCCAGAAACAAACTTCCAACATAGTAATGGGACCAACAAGCCACTTTCCCAAAGTATTCTATGTGCAGCAAAGCATTTGACTCAGAATTTTAGGAACAAAGAACAAATTTTGGGAAAAGCATGAAAAGCTCTGAAAATTTAATATGCAGAGAGTCTGTTCATGGAAATCTGTTTGGAAGCTAAAGACTTTGAAAAATGATCCTTTTTTCTTGTCTCAATGGCATGAATTATGGAAACCTCTACTATTTTCCACCTATTCAACTGTTGAGCCTCACAATTCCATCCGAAACGATGGAGTCGGCACCAAACTGAACAAACCAGGAAAAGGGCTTCACCTTATACACCTGAAGAATGAACACGAATCATCTGCAGAAAGCCAAAGTCATGATCAGGATGAATTTTCTGCTGATGTCGAGAAACTATACAGAATACTGAGGAAGTTCCATTCCAGGGTCCCAAAATTGGAACTCGCCCTCAATGAATCTGGTGTTTCAGTAAGACCTGGGTTATCCGAGAGAGTTCTTAACCGATGTGGTGATGCTGGGAACTTAGGATACAGATTCTTTGTGTGGGCATCAAAAAAACCAGGTTACACTCACAGTTATGAAGTCTATAAGTCCTTGATCAAGATTTTAGGAAAAATGAGGCAATTCGGAGCTGTTTGGGCCCTTATAGAGCAGATGAGGAAAGAAAACCCTCAACTTTTATCCCCAGAGGTATTTATTATTCTCATGAGGAGATTTGCATCCACAAGAATGGTGAAAAAGGCAATCGAGGTTTTGGACGAGATGCCAAAGTACGGCTGTGAGCCTGACGAATACGTGTTCGGGTGCCTTTTGGACGCCCTTTGCAAGAATGGCAGCGTAAAAGAAGCCTCTCTGCTTTTCGAGGACATGAGGGAGAGATTCGAGCCGACCATAAAGCAGTTCACTTCCTTACTGTATGGTTGGTGTAAGGCGGGAAAGTTGATGGAGGCGAAAGTCGTGCTGGTGAGAATGCGCGAGGCTGGCTTTGAGCCTGATGTTGTTGTTTACAACAATTTGCTCCTTGGGTACTCGACAGCTGGCAAAATGACCGACGCTTTTCATCTTATGCAAGAAATGAGGAAAAATGGTTGCGAGCCGAATGCGGGCTCGTACACTATTGTGATCCAAGGGCTGTGCGCGCAAGAGAAGATTGAGGAAGCTATGAGGATTTTTTCAGAAATGGAAAAGAATGGTTGCGAAGCTGACATCATCACGTACAGTACACTGATTAGTGGGTTTTGTAAGTGGGGTAAGATTCAGAGGGCTTACGAGTATTTAGACAGGATGATACGAAAAGGGCACACGCCCAGCCCATTGACTTATCTGTACTTCATGTTAGCTCACGAGAGAAAGGAAGAATTAGAAGAGTGCTTAGAACTCATAAAAGAGATGCGGAATATCGGTGTATCACCTGATTTAACTATATTTAACACCGTACTCCGTTTGTCCTGCAAACTGGGGGAGACAGAAGAAGGTATGAAAATTATGAACGAGCTTGAAGAAGAAGAAGAAGGCCTTAGCCCTGGTGTTGACACCTTTGTGATATTGATCAACGGGCTTGTTGAGAACGGGCGTTTAATCGAGGCGTGTGATTATTTCAAAGAAATGGTCGAGAGAGGTCTTTTCTCCGTCCCACAATACGGTGTTTTAAAAGACTTGTTGAATTCTCTTTTACGAGCGGACAATAAGCTTCAGCTGGCTAAGGATTTGTGGAGTTGTATTTTGAATAAAGGGTGTGAACTTAATGTGTACGCATGGACGATTTGGATTCACGCGCTGTTTTCGAACGGGCACGTGAAGGAGGCATGCTCTTATTGTCTGGATATGATGGATGCTGGGCTTATGCCTCAGCCGGACACGTTTGCTAAGCTCATGCGCGGTTTACGAAAGCTTTATAACAGACAAATAGCGGCGGAGATCACTGAGAAGGTGAGGAAGATGGCCAAGGATAGGAATGTGACATTCAAGATGTATAAAAGAAGGGGTGAGAGGGATTTGAGAGAGAAAGATAAGGCGAAGGACGACGGGAGAAAGAGAAGGGCCCGTAAAAGGAGGTGGGGAAGTAGAAGTAGAAAGGCTGACAGCTTTTGATTTGATTGGATAATAAGTCGAGAGTTCGATTTTATTTCTGGTGAGTTTTTTGAATTGGTAAATTTTGTTGAGCTTTCGTGTAAGATTTGAAGATTTGAATTCATGTTTTCGCTTATGCTTTCGAATACAACGAAATACGATATATTTAAAAGATTACTTCTTGAATAAACATTAAATGTTCGGAAAATGTTACTTCTGCTTATGCTATTATCAAGTGAAGAAAGGAGCAGCACTAATATGTTGTTGTGGAAAAGTAAAATGAATATTCTTGTACAAGGTTGAGCTAGAATGTGATTGTGTGTTTAACTTGGACAATACGATGAAGGGATTATCGAGATTCTTGTGTAATCCATATCCATACAACAGTGTTTTTCTCTCTNTTTTTTTTTTTTTATTTATTTTTTATTTTTTATTTTTTATTTTTTATTTTTTATTTTTTTTAAAAAGTTGTTCTCTATTGAGAGCTATAAAATTTTTGCCTGTTTCCTATCATGGTGAACGTTTGTGTAATATTTAGTTTATTCTGGTTTCTGTGTGAGGATTTACAAATTTTCAATTTGAGATAGAAGCCACTTTCTTCAGTTGAGACCCCAGATGGAGGAATATGCTATGTTACTTAAAGGTAAAATCCATTTCTATTTGAGATAGACATTTCAGATTATGCCTAGATTATAAAATCTTTTCTTCTGTTTGGCTTATGCAGTAAAATTTTTGCCCGTAACTAGTTTTCAGGTCTGAAACTGTAATGATTTTATTCCCTAATAAAAATTGCAGTAAATGGACTTTTGTACAATTTCAAAATTTTATATGGATACTTTGTAATTGGGATTGCATGCTCGACTAGTTAGAAATGTTGTAAATTTAATTTTATTTTGTTTTAGATGTGTTGGGTTGATTTGATTGCTTGGGATGACTGTCTAGTTTTCCCTTAGCAGGGTGAATTCCGACATAGAATCTATGTGCTTGGATATAAACTGTGATTAGATTTTTCCTATTCAAATCGTGTAATAATTTCAGATAGCGAAGAGCATAGCAGAAAATAAGGCAATATTTAGAGCACAGATTGGTTCAAGACCGCCACGTTGCGTTTGGAGGTGCAGTAGTTGCGAGCGTTGTGAGGCAATTCAAGTGCCCACAAATCCTCAAAACAGAAATTCGACGGTTATTCATGTAGTCTGCATCACTTAACAAAATATGGAGTCTGTCGACCTAACATAATAGGTCCTGCTCTTGGTAAATCAAACAAGTGAACGAATAGGTTAAGAGAACGCAGTAATTTTACTGCGGTTTAAATTATTTACTTTGTCAGTATAAAACTTATCTTTCATAAATCTATTCAATACATCCAAGATGTACTAGTGTAATTCATTAGTCAAAGACTAACTAATTCAAAATCACATTACAACCTTTCACGACAGTGTGTTCAATCGTGTCTGGGCAGTGAACAAATATTTATATTTTATAAGGAACTAATTATATGATATTTCTATTCGATATATCGAATCATACTATCTACAATGTAAAATAAAGTAACTATGTTCGTATAAATAAATAATCTATGAACATACATTTTACTAAAACATGAATCTCATTCAAAATAAAATTGGGAGTAACACAAAACCGAGCTTCTACAGTATATTCCAACAATTTCACACTTATACATTAAAGCTTTGTTTTTTTCTAAGTATACATTCTTTCAATCTTTATTCTCAAAGAATTATTTTCCTAACTGTCCTACAACATGACTATCGTGTGCTTTCGTCAGAAAGTCACTTCTAAAAAGAACTACTTAGTGGTCTACTGATGTAACTAGGCGACAAAACCTCTACTTCTTTGCGATTATTTGCACTAGGTCGTACTAGCTATGTGCTTACTTGCCTTACTAAATTGTGATTCCTTCACGTTTGCAACTGCACCAACTGTCATCACAATCAAATTATGACCTGACTTGGACAAATCAAGATTTAACATTTCTAATCCACTATAGGTTCTCAAAGTCAAACCTCTTCTATTTCTTGATGTTCAACTCGCGACGGAATGAGTTTTATTGGTGGAATCCGTTAACGAGTTACTGTTCGACATTCCTCCAAATTGTTGGCTCCACCTCACAATAAACACAAATTTGGAGGTATATTTTACTTATTGTTCACGTGTGATTAAAAATTATAATCTTTTATAACCCATAGACCGCACATATTGCATAATATTTTTTTCCCTAAATAAAATTTAGTAAAACTCTAAAATTGTTTGTATATATTATAAAGAAACATTAAATATTACATTAAAATACATAAACACAAAAAGAAAAGAAAAATAGTGTGGCACAAGCACAGTGTTGCGCTAGAATTGGCGGAACACCGTTTATTAATCTTTGTTCACTTTGGGGTATAAGATACAATGTCAAGCAACATTGGGGATTACCTTACTTGGTATATGATTCAAGATAAAATCGAAATATAAGCTTGGTGAAGACAAACATGAGATAGAGATCATACAACCCCAACACATAATCTACACTGATTGGGTCTTAATAATCCGAATAAGTCTTATCACCTGTGTACCGCTGTACGTGATTGCCTATTCCACTACAAATACAAATTATGTTCCCTATTTCATCCTTTAGCTTCCATCAGCAGCATGCACCATACATATATAATAAAAATGCTTACAAGTACATAATAAATGTACATAGAGGTGTACATAACACTCACATGGAGTGGAATCTACTTGATTTTTTTATTCTTGATAGGACCCACCTAATGTGAGTGTTATGTACACCTCTATATACAATATTATGTACCTATAGCATTTCTTACATATATAATATATATATCAGCAATCAATATCCAATGTTTATCACAACACTCACAAATAAATCCAGGACAAGATAGATGATAAATTAAGATGTAAAAGTGATTGAATTAACAAGAAGAGGTGTAAATAATATTGATTTTAATTCTACGCATCTGAATGGAGACAGTTTCGGATAGTCGTCACCACATCTTCTGCGGAGCCACTGAATTCTTTCACCACCTAAACAAAACAACATATCAACAAACATCATTCATACAGAACATCACAATATCATTCATGAATCATGATTAAAATGATATTTCAGTTAATTGGGAGATTCACCTCAGCCGTAATTGTAATGTCAAGGACAAAAGACCCAAACGGTACGATGCTAGCACTGACTACATCAAGATTAAGCTTATCGAGTTCCATTAGCAACTTGACCAAAACGCCCTTGCGTTTTCTGCACTGTAGTTTTAGTAGGACGTTTGTACGATTAACTCTGGCTTGAATTTGATCTACGCCACATTTCTCATCTGGCAATTCATCTTCTTTGCTCGAGGCCTCGTTTGTTTGCTTTTCCTCGAGTTTCTTCAGTCTCTGGTCGAGATCTTGCATTTGCTCTATTGCATTCACTACAGAAATACAATTTTCGCCCATTTTTTGTTTTTTTTTTTTAATTAAATGAAATAAAAACACAAGAGTATTCAGTTTCTTTCCTTTCTTTTTCTTTATAGTGCGATTTGCACAAGTGCTGACAAAGGACGAAACGTGGTGCCATGTGTATGAGGGCACATTTGAAACCACTGAAAATTTCAAAATCCGCAGTAGAAAAGTCATCATATTGTCGGATCTACAACAAGTCAAAACACATTATTAGACACTTATGTTATAATTTCGATTTTATTTAACATATCAGAAAGAAACGAAAAAATACCAAATAAACAAATAAATAAATAAATAAAATTTGTAGCCTTAAAAGGCAATAACTCAGACGGGACCAATCCATGTCTCTTTTAACTGATGAGGACAAGCAACACATTTATTGCCGAGCAATTTTCTGTCATGTGGAGAGATGCTTCAGTATTCGGAGCTCCACCATAAAAAATGGTCCCCGGCCTTAAGTAGTCGAAAGTTTCATTTAATGTAGCTGGCCGTGTAATTATCATATTGGTAACGCTAATTATAGAAAACTGTTCAATTGAAGTGTGTAGTTAGTTTCATTTATACTTTGATTCTCTCAACTATTGTGTCCGAAATTGGTATATTTATTTCACCCTTACAAAAAATAGTCAATTAAATCATGAGTTTTTTTACATCGATACGCTCCTGACAATTGCGGTTAGCTGCTTACGTGATGCAATAAAATTTGAGCACCGCCTACGTGGCACATTACATGACAAATGATGTGGAGGTTTCGTTCGTCTAGCGTACTACTATCTCGTTTTTGGTCCATTAAGTTGTTCTAACTTCAATTTTAGTAAGTTAAGTTGGAAATTTTATTAATTTTAGCCCCCTTATTAAAACAAAATCTATCTTTTATGATGATTTTTTTGGCCACGAGCTCAATTTCATTCTAGTTTGTTGAGTAACAATAACAAAATTTATTTTCTTCATTGATAATATTTTTTTACATTATTTATTTTTGACATTGAAAATATTTTTTATGACAACTTTGTGTGAGCCAAAGAACAATTCGGTCTAAAGCTGGTTATCATCTAAACGTCTAGTGGTTCGCTACTAATAACTTTCGTAAGAAGGGATTGAACATAAACAAGTTGTTGGCTTCGATGAAAAACATCGATTAATGTACAATATCCAACATCAACAAATTTAATTTAAGTTCAAACAATTTAGAGTTTAAGATTAAGAAATTACGATTTAAGTCATTTTTGCAGACTCTAAGTCGATTTAAACAGTATATCTGACTGTGCGAACGAATCACCTTTTGATCTTATATAGCATGTCCCAAATGTCTTGGTAGAGCGAATAACTATCGGAAACCCCCCTCTTAAAATCTCTCTTACACGATTTGGGTGGAAGATAATGCAAGAGAATACAATGTTTTTGAAACATAATATCTTTCTCTCTCTTGGGATCGCTAGCACGTTTTCTCTCTCTCTCTCGAAGATGTGTGTTTTGGGTGAGATTTCGAGGGGAAGATGAGGTATATTTATAGGGTGTGGTTGATTACAACTTCCAATAATGTTATGCGCTTGATTAATTCCCATGTTAATTAATACATCTATCCACGCATTTAATAGAGCCCATTAAGTTGTTTGTTTTACTATTCATATCAGGCTCATTGATTTATTAGCATGTTTGGTTGGATATTAAGAAATTCCACACTTACAATTTTTCATTGTTCGTCCTCACATGCCTTCGCATAAACAAGACGCATCACCAGCCAATTTGTGCACTTCACATCTCCGCCGCAAGGCTCTGAGATTGCAGATCGGACTCGGTAATCCACGACCATCGAAGTCGCGGCGAGCCCACCATCTTAGCGTGTGGCGTCCACCATCTCCGTCGTCAAGTCCATGAAATTGCATATTGGATATAGAAATCCACGACCATCAGCGCTGCGGGGCGCTGATGCGTACTGGACTTGGAACCGAGACAGTTTGGATTTTGAGCGGGAATGACTGGATAAACGGTATTAGTTTTTTTGTTTAAATTTTAAAAATGTTTAGTTTAAATGTGTTAGTTATATGGCAGTTATAATTTGAATGTTTCAATGATTCGATTTAGCCTAAAAATCCATGTACTCATTATTGTAAATGAAGTTAAAAGTAATAAAAATTAAGAAAGAAGCTCGTCTCTGAGTCATTTCTTCGTGAAAAACCAAGGACGCTAATGCGGGTTTTTCACTTATTAATGTGTCGACCAAAGTCGTCAGTGCAGGTTTACACATTTTATCGTGTTCGAACCAAGGCCTTTGGTGCGGGTTCTTGCACAATCGAGTACCGATACACGATCTTCATCAGGCGCCCACCACTTGGAGGATCGCTGAAGAACTTGGCCTGCTCGAGGATGGCGCTCGTCTCGACGAATTCAAAGAAGAACCAGTTGGAGCAGACTTTAGTGCGGCTTCGCAGAAGAGGGCTTCGTGAAATCTTTTTCTATTGCTAAAAAAATTGAGAATTTGTGTGTTGTGAGAGTTTAGAGATAGAAATTGGCGAAAAAAAAAAACGAGGATGATTTTTGGAAAGAATTTGGAGAAGAAATTGGGGATGTTGAGTTGCGATTTGAAAAGAAGAGGAGGAAAAAAAACAAGAAAGAACTTAGGCTCCATTTGTTTTGAGGGATTTGAAATCCCTTGATTTCAAAATTTTTGAAATATAAATTTTTTTACTTGCACACTCCTTGAATGAATATGTTGAAAATATTATAAATAAATTGTCTAGCTTGCACTGATGGTGTTGACTCACGGTGGTGATGAACCTAAATGATCGCGAACGGCGTGGTCGTCAACTGTGATACACAGTGAATTTTAAATGACTAGGTTTGATGAGTCATTTCAAATCCTTCAAAATAATGACTAAAAAACATCTAGCATGAATTTGAAATCCTCCAACTTTCATTATCATCCCAACATGCATGAGTATTTGAACTTGTAAATTTGAAATCTATGGATTTCAAATTCCTCAAAATCCCTCAAAACAAACGGAGCCTTAGGGAGTTTGGTCTTGAAAAAAAAAAAGGACGAAGACATGAAGAAAATGTCTAGACATTTTAGGAAGTTAAAATTGGTGAGTGATTGCATATATGGTATCCCACCAATTTGGCCGGATGTGTTATAAACAAATTGAAGGATAATTTGACCGGGCCATACCATTTTTCAAAGCCAAGACATGTTCAACCAAACACAATAAACACATGGATATAATAACACCCTAGTGTATTTTTTCACCCTAGAATTTAAACATTAAACTATATCAAAAAATTCAATCCACCAGGCCACAAATAAAACTTGCAAAACCAATTATCCACAATTTATTCTATCCTCGGAAATTCAAATATAACAATCTTATCTTGAGTCATTAATTCACATGAATCCCAAGCCCAATCATCAGTCACATTTACTTTTTGTTCCCACTAGAGTCAGAACCACAAAATGGAAAATATCGCTACCAAGAGAAGAACT